TCCAAATGTGGTACAAGTTTACTAGATTTACTCACCCCCCCCCCGTGTCCCGCTCGCGATCGCGAACAACGAGGGATCGTCCTCGCGCATCATCACGTCGGCCGGAAGACTTGGTTACTTCCGCGTTCGCAAAATTGCGTAGCCGCGATTCAAATTCCCGAGTGTTAACGCGCAAAGTTATGCACGTTCGACATGTTCCGATTGCACGGATCTCGCGCGTTGGCTCTTAAAACGTATAAATTACGTAAAAACTGAATCAATTGCTTTATTCCTCCTTAATCGATCTTCCGCGGTTTCGCTGACGTTGTCGCGTTATCAAGCGATTGAACGTACGTAATTTAAGCGATGTTCTCCAATTGTTGAGAAAAGATATCACGAAATGATCTTGAGATGAAATGTCGGAGGGATCGACACTTTGAGCATAATTTCGAATCGAAACGATCTCCTTGACAGTTGCTTTTTTTGCGTACGTAAATTCGTTTCGTAAATCATAAAAATTCATAAAAACGATCGCTCCGACGATGGAGCGATAAATTCGTGAGATTAGCTTAGTGTCAAATGTGACGAATGCAATTAGATATTTCATCATATACTCCATCGGATTTAAGAAATCGATAAAATACAATTCTTAATTAGACACATACACTCAATTTAAATTGTGGAAAAAAAATATCTGTCGATACAATAGTATGCGTGATTAATAATAATTTCCATGTCTAAATATGCTATCAGTGTCTCTCCCAAGTCTTCTATTTTGAGATAAAAGTCGGTCAGTTTCTGATACTGAACACGACATTATTCTATCACTCTACCATTTTGGAACAGATTCGACCATGTAATTCACAAATATGCGTTTCAATTGTATTTTGGTATCTTTATTTATATGTATATGCGTACACTATTATTATATACATATATAATGTACAGTCTAATAATTCGGATGTTAAGATGACTTGATATACTTTTTACGATATTCGATTAAGTAGTCTGTATCGCGATAAGAATACTGAAGGAATCACACAGCGAATATCCCGAATATTAATATATCCTAAAACAAAAGTACAAGCGTATCTGATAAAAAAAGGAAGCAGAGACATATTTATTTTATCGAGGGCGCGCATCTGCACGCACGCAGTTACGATTTTTATGAAAAAAAAGTTGGCTTGGCTTCTTCCAGACTCAGTATTAGATTTTGCGGACAATGAAAGAAGGAAAGGAAAGGAAAAGAAAGGTCGAGCTTGTACGGTTTAGATGAATTTTACACCGATTTATATTTTACGGAGACAAGTCGGCTGTCTCGTCGCCCGATTTCACATGGCGTCTCTGAGAAAAAGGCTCCCCCCCCCCTCTCTCCCGCTCCGCTCCATATCTTTATGAGATGATTTAAATTTTGTATACGCACAGCGTGTGAACGGTGACATTAGTAAACACCTGGCGGCATAGTATTTTATATGTATTATAGGATCTTTAAGATTTTATAAATATTTTTTCGCGAGGGAGACGAGAAAAAAATCGGAATATCTCGTCTTTGCGTAAAATACGTCGACAAATTGCTTCCTTGTCATGAAACTTTTCCGATTAAAACCAACCGTATCGGGCATACACCCGTATATGTATATGTATATATATATATATCAGATAATGGGACCGGAGTAAAATTTTATAAGCGTATATTTGAGAAAGTGACAACGGGATTTATGGTAATAACGTCAATGAGTTTTGCCAGTGTCACCGTCATTTCTCTTCCCGACTCTGTGAATTCTGTTGAACTTGATGAACATTGATGAGAATGTAATTTTTATTTATTGTAAATAAAAGAAGGAACTTGATTAAAGTATCTTGTATATTATACATTCTGAATCGATACATGCACACATATATATGAATTTTCAAGTAGCAGAATATTCATTAGATTTAGACTATGACGCAAGTTGTATAAAGAGATTCGTAAACAAATGCATATTTCATTTGATCATTAAGCAAACGTTTGCTGGAATAATACAAGTTCTGGAAAATGGGAAATATGGAATAGGAATAAAAAGTTAATTTCCAATAAATAATGTTGAATACTGTTTTATTAAAACTTAAATGATCTTTATATTAAAATATTCTAATAAATTCAGAGGAAATTAATCTTGTATCACATATTCGTCATTTGTTGTATCACATATATCATTTATTCTATATTCATCGTGCATCAAATACAACAACTAGAAACAAGATTAAGGAAAATTTCTTGATGTTCAACTTTAATGAATTACATTGAAGAATATTAAATTAAGGAAGTGATAAAAAGGATACGTCTTTTTGTGCGTTTCTTATACATGATTCTGTATCCACATTCCCTGCATCGAATTGGATCTCTGGGACGAATCTCGTTATCGTGATGACACTCTGAAATAATAAGAATTTAAAACTTGATCATATGAAACAAAAGTAGTTTTTCATAACTCTCATTCTACATATTTAATCGAGAAATTTCTCTTATACTTAGAAAAATGTTTAAATACAATTTGACAATTTCAATATGAATAATATAATTAAAAAAAAATCAAAATAAGATATATTTATATATAACTAATTAATCAAGAATAGCACTTAAATACTGAATTGAAGATTGTTTTCGAGGAAATGAGGTTAGGAAGTCATTACACATGTACTTCTTACCTCCGCAGATGTATACCATGGCTTGTTTCGGAGTAGATTCGGATTTGCTGGATTCCATTTTAATTATATAAAATTATTAAGCTAATAATTAATTTAATTCTTACAGTAAATCTTTCTGAAAAGGAAAGAATCACCGTCAATACAATATTCGATTCGAAACCGACTTGTAGCTTGTGGCTCAATAAATAGCAATCTTATTTTGGTACATAGACTATCGATAGATGGCGCTAGTAGCATAGTGAATAAATAGTGAGTCGTTTTCAATAGAAAAAAATAATCGATCACAGCACAAAATTAAAATCATATATAATTTTAATTTTAAATATATTCTATAATAAATAATTTAATCAATTATTAAATTTTATAATTTTTATTATATATAATATCATATTTTTATGTATAGTGCCTTCCTTAATTCCTCCTAAAATTACAAGATTCTTAATAATATAAATTTATCGTGTTTTTTTTGTATAAAACAAGCAATTAGATAGATAATCTTTTTTCTCTTCGCTATATAATTGATGCAAATTTAAAATTTTAATTAAAATTTGACTAGCTTTTTTTCTAATTGCATCATTTATTTTTTTACATTAATATAAGGTGAGGGAAGTGGGGAAGTGGGGGTATGATTCGAGCAGTATCGTTCAAAAAGGTCGCGCGATACACATTGCGTCGCGTCGCGCCGGAATTCAAGAGGGGCCGAGCGAAGAGGAAAGAAAATCTCCCCGGCAACAAAAGCTCCATATGCTTGCAGCATCCGGCGCGGCACGATTCGACCAATAGTGCCGCTTGGCAACGAAACGGCGGGACGAAACGGCACATGTGATTCGCCGAGTGACGCGCGTGGCGTCGATTGGCGGCAAAGGGAGGGGAGAGCACACACGGTGAGAGCCGAGTTATATGCGACGATGTTCAATGTGTCGGTAGAACGTTGACGCGTGTGGGTATACGCAGAGGGAGAGCGGGTGCGTGCGCATGTCTCCCTAAGTCGCGCGCACCCCCAAGCGCCGTTCAGTGACATTGGTCGAGGGTGCGAGACGCGTATGTCGAGGAACGATCGAGACGACGAAGCGGCAAGTTGTGCCATCGAGTTCGCGCGAAGAAAATCATTCGCGGTGAAAAGATCGAAACCAGCCTTCCGTTTCTCTGTGGCCTGTTGTTTACGAAGTGCGCGCACGCGGGAGGGGTGACCTTTCTCCATGCGCTCGCGGATTGCCGGCGTCGGCGAGCGCGGCAGAAGGGGCGAGTGGAAAGGGAAGGAAAGAGGCGCCGGGCGGGCATGAAGCGCGCGCGTTTCCCGCGCACACGTGAGTACAGCGCGAAGCAAGACGCGAGTGTCAACACGGGAGTCGAGGGAAAGTGCCAAAAGAGTGGCGCATTCTCGCCGAACTTCACGACGTAGGTACGTCTCGGGGGACGCGATCTCGGCGATTGACACGGAATGACACATTTCGTCGCGCGATTTAACGCGGAAAGGGAGGTTCGATCGAAACGTCGACGCGTTCCGAGGACACAACTCGTTCCTTTCTCCCGTGTGGGAAAAACAAACGATCCGTGAGTGGTGCGAGCGAGAAAGTGCGAAGAAATGTGCGAAAAGCAACACGTGCGCCCGACGTCCCGTCGATCCCTCCGTGATTTATCGTGTCAAGATATGTCGCCTCACGCGTCGAGATTTAATAAAGATTAAACATTGACACGTTAAAAGTCTCCTAATGACTTGTTTACATACCTGTCTTCTGTGAGCAGGACAAAAAGTGTGACATTTACTGTATCTTATCTCCGCGATAAACGGAAGGCGACTGTGAAGTGAACCGTTTCGAAAGGTCGCCAAAGTTAATAAACAAGCGTGAACTCTTCGTTGCCTGTACTTGCCCGTGCAAATAATAAAGTGACGTTTCTCGGCTAACTCAGGACACACAACGGGGAGTTGTCGATTTCGCTGTTCGATGGCGACGAGAGTCCCGCTCGACATGCCGCTTGGGATGTACCGTTCACGTGGTGTCCAACAAAAGGCTAGGTAGTCGAATACCGGAAATCGAGCGTCTCGAGTCTGAATTTCATCGGTCGGATGAACGACATCGTCCCGAATACGATGGAGGACGTTGACAGCATGCACATCGTTGAGACGCAAAGCGTCTCCGTCGACAGCAGCGGACGCAGCTCCCACGACAGCGTCGACAGCGGTTATTTGTCCATGGTGACGCCGCACACCAGCGGCTGCACCCCAAAGGTGGCCGGCTGCAGGACTCGCTCGTCCACCGGCGCCCTGTTCACCGCCAAGAAGTATTGCAGGTACCGCCCGGATCCTTTCCAGTGCGAGAAGACGCAGAGGCGCCGCTCGAAGTACGCCCATTTGCTGAACAGCTCGGAGTCCGGTTTCCTCGTCTCCGAGAGCCCCGCCGCGGAGCAGGAGTCAGTGCTGGAGCCGTCGTGCGCGAGCGTCAACCAAAGTCTCAGCCTGGTGCACTCCACCCCGAGTTGCGCCAACGATGAGTTCGACAAGGTTCTCAGAAATAAGAGGAACTGGAGGACCACGGTGCCCGTCACCCCCGCGTCCACGGACTTCGACATGTTTTCGCCGCCCCCGTCGCCGGCGGTGCCGTCCTCGTCCTACGTGGCCTCGGAGCCGATCCAGGAGGATGTGGAGATGAAGCTAGTCCATACGCCGCGGGGCAAATCGCAGCAGATCACGACGCCGCCTAGACTCAAGGTCCTGATCCCGAAGATCGTGATCTCTCCGATTTGCACGAGGAGCAGCCCCGCGATAACGTCGGCGGAGAATCGCAAGTTGCGCGACCTACGCATCACGGATCTGGCCGCCGCGGCCGAAATCAAGCCGAAGAAGCTGGACTTCAGTCATCGCGGTCTGTCCGCGTCGTTGCGGAAGAGCCGTCGGGCTACTTTAGACTACACGGGAAAGGAGAAGGTGGACTTCCTGTCTCTCCTCGGCGAGGAGAGCAATCATTTGAACGTAGTATCGAAAATCCTGTCGCTTCTCTCGCCCCAAGATCTCTGCTCGATCAGCATGGTCTCCAGAGCATGGGGTAGAATTTGCAAAAACGACTTTTGCGCCAATGGACGAAGGATGAGCTTTATCATGCGTAAACATGCCATCAAGGAAAATCTGTGGCTCATGAAGTTAGCGAAGAAGGCGAAGTGCGAGGAGGATGTACCGACGAGTCCTAAGAGCAGACGTTACGTCCGGAAGGGGTGCCTGTTGGATGTACAAAATTTGCTGCATGTTCCAGCACAGCCGAACAGCCCGCCTGTATCGCCGAGCAAAATCAAATTTCATTCCTTCGTCAAGGTAAGTCGATTACTTTCTTGTAGCGTATGTTTGAATGATCAAACGTGAACAAATTGATGATTAATTTTTCTTTACTTAGCGATTTCTTAAAAGCTGTAATACGAGAGTTGAGAAGACGACTGAATTTCAATGGTGCACAGAAAAAAATTAATTTTAAATCAAGACAATGTGTAAGCAGGAATATTATAATCTTCAAAATTTTTAATTAAACAAAAGTAAGTAACTTGCAATTAATACAAATTCAATAAAATCAAGACTAAAACTCTTTTAAGAAGATTATAATATTCTTGTTTAGATATGAGAATATTTATCTTGATTTAATATAAATTTTGTTTTTCTGTGTAGCAACGCACTCGTGAGAAAACTCACAGTAAAGTCAATGACTGATGCAAAATATCGCAGCTTCAAAGAACCGTGTGTGTGTGTGTTACATTTCTCAGGGCTCTCGTATTCGACACTCGCGGGAGTAATGCATGTTGCATTCCGTCGAGAGTCGTGTTCCTCTCTCGTTTATCTCGTAACTTCATAATTTGCCATCGGTATCCGACGAGACTGGCTTATTTTTTATTTAATGCTATATGTATCTCTCGTTCTAATTGAATAATGATAATCTACAGTAGCTCGGGATGCGCGAACGACAAAAAAATAACTGTTGACCAAGGATCAGCATTACGTTTGCAGTTTTTAGATCTAGAGTATATCAAGAATTGTGTTTGCTAACTTGAAGACGATTATCTTTTGATATATAAAGAATTAATTCAATATTTTTGACATTTATATTTTGAGCAAGAGGTTTATTTTTTTATTTTTTATTGCTGAAAAATATTAAAAATAATAAGAAAGTTGCCGATTTTCTTTCTTATTTTTATACTCTCTCCATATATTCTACTATCTATAAAAAAAGGTTAAAATTGTGTAATGAAAAATGTGCATTTAACATATTTCTAAAGATAATTTAATTCAATATGTGATAATTATTGTACATGAACTGTAACGCGATTTAATTATTAGCTCAAGTAATTCAAATAGTTTCTCATAATCAATCTGAATTTCACATTGTGTTTTTTATAAAATTAATACTTTATATCTGTCATACAACATAATTCAAAATCAGACAGACATAATATGCTTCTTAATTATGCGTCACCTTTGTCGTGATACACGTAATTAATTGATGATCTCATCACATGGTTGATTGTTCTTGATATATGGAGAATAGACTTAATATTTTTAACATTTATATTTTGAGAGAGCAATTGAGATCTTTAATTTTTTATCACTGAAAAACATTAAGAATAATAAGAAAATTTGCCGATTTTTTTTATTATTTTTATACTCTACATTTATTAATAATATTACGAAAATTAATGAAAAGTGTGCATTGAACATATTTCTAAAAATAATTCAATGCGATATAATTATTACATGAACTATAACGCGATTTAATTATTAGCTCAAGCAATTCAACAGTTCCTCACAGTCGATCTGAGTTTCACATTGTGTTTTGTTTTTTTATAAAATTTAATATTTTATTGCTGTGATACAACATGATTCAAAGTCAGACGTAATATGCTTCTCAATTGTGCGTCACCTTCGCCGTGATATACATAATTAATTAATGATCTCGCCACGTGGTTGATCGTTCTGTTAGAACCCTATGAAACCAATGGCATATCGTGCGATCTGTGACGTTACGCATTGCATCAGGCGTTGGAACCCGTAATTAAGGATGCTGTTTCGCTCCTTTTCGTAGACGGTTCCTCGTCGTCGCTCGTAATTCTCGCGAGAGCAGATACACGACGACTAATTATCAGCCAGCGATAATCGATAGCCCAGTTGTTCCAGGATTTCCTCAACTAAATTGGCATTCGCATAGTTCGCGCGCACGAAATCGAATCGCGGTCGGGTAATTGTTTCGATTGTGAGATCATTACTTTGACGTTGATTTATCGTCATTTTGGCTTTGAGCCGCCGCGAAGGATAATTGCTTCGTGGGTCGTTAAGGCTGAAGATAAGCGAGACCCGTCGACAGTGTGCAGAATTTGACGGATGTTCCTCAATGATGAGATTCTGCGCGTTTTGCATATTTTCATCTCATACGTAACAATTCCAAATCCATATCGCGATGTTCGCACGAGGAATACGTTTTGGCATAATCAGAAATGTTGCATCTAGTACAGCTATTTGCTTTGTATTTTATCATGCATATTTATTAAAAAATCAAGATAATATTAAATTAGATCAGGTTCAATAACAAATAATAAAT